AGCGTTAGCAGTGTAGTGCGCGTGATAGATTGAGCGAAATGTGTGCGCGTCCGGAACGCAGTGGACACATGCATGGGTACAATTTAGTGAAGTGAGAAAGTTAACAATGGAATACTAAACAGTAGAATGGCTACAACAAACATGGTTCACATAATGAACGGCTGCACACTGCTGTCCTAACATTGACATATTTCGCATCCGTTTAGCAGCTTTGAACGGGCGGCTGCATTCTAACCTCTGCCCATAAGGGCGAGAGTGATGTCGCGCTTATGGCACAAGAGGCGCTTGGCAAAACCGCCTCATGCATTAACTATGCGCTTCGTGACGTCATCCTATATTCCACAGGTGCAATTATGGCTATCTACCTACTTGAATTTTCGAGCGACTTCTAACTGATCAATACCAAAAATCAATACCAAAGAGTTGGGTGCCTGCTAACCTTGGAGAAGCACTTTGCACTCCGATGGTGCAAAGTATAGCCCGTAACAACTGACAGTCAGTGTTACTCTGTCCAGTGCTGACTGACACGCTTGTGACCTGCCAAATATAAGGACAAATCGTTGGCTACTCTAAGTCAAGGTGTTGCTCACTAGGAAGCAGCTTCACACTTGTAAGTTGTGTCCAGTGAACGCCATTTTCTTGACTTCGTCAATGGCGACCGTTCTCACACGGCTGAAGTTATTAACTGGTGGTGACACTTTAGCACAAAGTAGCACTCTGTCCGAATTGTGAGCGTACAGCGCTCTGATAATGTTTAAATAGTTATTGGGCACGAAATACCTGGGCAGGCGGTCCCGAATCGAAATCATCTTTGATGTGGATGTACACGACTACGTTTGATCGCCAATAACTATGGAGGTTTCGACAAATGACCTAAAGGTGTAGTCAATGTAGCCTCGATTTCGACGAAACCCGGCCAACTGCGTAAGAATTTGACTTTCACGGGTGTTGGCCAGTCTGTGGAGACCAACCGACGCACGGAATTTAGAAGCAATCGAGATCAGACTGATTCGTCTGTGGTTGCCGCTTTCCGAAGGTGAGCCTTCTTTGAAAATTGGCACTATAAGATAATTGATTCTAGTAGGTTGGGACAGTATCCTACTCCAACAGCTTCCGTATTAAGTTGTGCAAATCATCCACATGAGCTACCCACCCCCGAATTTGGAAAGTGTTGGATGTAGTCTAACTTGTTGGGGTGTGCCCAATGGAAATATCTTTTGACTACAATTCCTAGTCGCTCGCTTTAGTTTCGCCATCGTTTGTTTCTTAACATGCATGCATTAAATGCAGTACTCCTCTGCCTCTATTGGCTGGCCTACGTGATCGCGATTTGATCGGATTTTGTCCATGGCTGGTGGGTACCATGTCACCCTTATGCGGGTGCTATGTCGGAAGTTAGTGATCGCGAGAAGTAGATGAGTGTCGTCACATAGGTGCAGTAACCACACACGGTTATCATTGCGGGTGCCTACATCGTGTTGGTCGCCCAGATGAAGCTCATCAGTGGACAGTTTTCCAACTTGGGCGTTCTGATCGACACCAAGCACCACAGCATCCGTAATCTTCATGCGATAAAAGTGTACATTGATGATAGAATTCATCTCTCACCGGGTCAGTGCTGTAGTTTGTGGGCGCGTAGGCCGAAATGTCAAACAGTCATCGCGCCACTTCCCATATTGGCAGGAACCACCCACTCTGACAACGCACATCCACTTGCTGACTGGGATCCAATCGACCACGGCAACTTCAGCCCGTCGATTCAGAGCAATGCCCACACCGGTATTTGAAGCTGCATCATCTCCCAACGGGCGCAATAAGAAAGTACTGCCAGTGTCGCATGTGGGTGATCGCAGGGTAAACATGGAACTCGAAACTTGCAGTCGGATTTCCGGTAAACAGCAAATCTCGATCAATAAAGTCGCTATTGTTCGGGCAAGTGCTGCCTGTTGGTCAATCTGTAGCAAAGTGTGTATGTTGAGGCGTGCCACTCTTAGCGAGCATCGAAGGCTCCAAACAGGAATGGATGAACTGACGTTGTCCGCTCGACTGAACGTGGACTTTTCAACTGGACTTGAACGATACGCTGCGATTTGTGTGAGTAGTAACTGGAAGACAAGCGACTATTCAAGCAAGGTGGGGGAGGGCCACGAATTTGGCGATTGAAAACATGTGGGTTAAGAGCGAAGTTGTAGTGGGAACGTAAGGAGAAAAGAGCGCGAGAAAGTTAATAGGATGACAGGAAGGCTTGAGCAGTAGCATCCTCAGCTTGCTCGATGCAGTAGATACGGTGTCATTGATTATTCTCCGCTACTTCCAGAATGTTAAGAAATTGTTTGAAGGACGATTTATGGTATTGGATGGTCAAGCTGCAGCAGAGTATTATTTAGCTTTTCGCAAATTCCGAAACAACACATACGTTCCTTCACTAGAATACATAGAACCGACTCAGAGTTGTCAGATCTTACCTGACTTATAGCTGTTATTTTGGGTCAGCGTCACTCCTCATATGAATGAACTGAACCTGGCATTTCAAGGACAGTGTAGCAGCCTGGAGCATCCCCCTGTCTGTCTAAGTATGTTGTGTAGCATGTTGAAGCTTATGTCGCGTTTGTTTGTCTGACCCGTGAGCACGACAAACACATGGCGCGACAGTCTAATTCACCACGCCGCTCTATCGCGCTGTACCCAGACATCCTTCCACAGCTAGTAAGCGTCGGGACGGTGTCGCATTTTCAACCACGGACGATTGCGCATCCTGTCAATACACATTCGTCCCTTCACTTCCAAGCCTTCTCCTGAACCATGGGGTACGGCGCACACCAATAGCCAGAACAATGCTGCAGGTCTGTTGCCATGGAGCGACAACTCCCGTTACAAAAGGATAACCTCGTTCGTGACCTCTACATGATGTAAAGTGGATTTCGGAAAATCCTGTAATTATGAGAAGCACAACTGTTTAATGCGCTTGACTCTACAGTCGCCGAAAACGTCAACAGCTAATTTGCGCTTAGAGTACGCACCGTGTGTTTTGATCGTGACATGTAATATCTGTTGAGACTGTTGTATCAAGAAAGCCGTAGGAAAGGTAAAATGTATCTGGCAAAATTAATTAAGTACAACTTAGTCAATCCTTTGTTAAACGGAGAGTCAAGCGACAGACGCACACAACCAATAGTAATGAGTCAGCAATCCAACCAATGAGCTTGAGCCAATCGATCTTGCTCACATGATTACTACATTATCGTTCCCCCTCCGAAAAGCTGCCTCAACCGGGTTCGTAGCGATCAATAGGTTTCACCGTTCTCGCGGACCGGCGCAGCTGGCTTCGTGGTAATGGTAACTCAGCCGGGACTTGGCGCGCGGATCGGTCGGGCTGATTAGCTGGTCCGTGAGCTGTGTGGAGTCGACGCGCGTTGACAATTAGGCCGTTCTCCAATCGATAGGTGCCCGGGCCAAGCGTACGGTCGATGCGCAGTGGAGCGGAAAGCGAAGGTGTGCCTTTCTTTGTTGCTCTGCTTTTGACGCGAACGTATGTCCCGGGCTGCATCGGTGTTGATAATTTAGCATAGGAATTTTGGTAAGATGCTATGCGATTTGAAACTTCGGCATCTCTCGCTGATAAAACGTTATGTGCAGCATTTAACTTTGTGCGTAAGGGCCTTCCTAGCATCAGCTCCGCTGGCGTTCTTCCTGTGGCTCTGTGGTCACATGTTCTGTAGGAAAAAACCGCAGTTAAAACTGCATC